AGTCTAATCCCTCTTTTTTTTTCAGTGTACCTGTCTGCCTCATGCACTAGGCTGGAAGTTGCGGGTGCATTTAGTTTGGATGATGCCTTCTGGCACAGATGAGAAGTTGCAGTTGTATTTTTATTCTTTTAATCAATGCACTCGTGGCTGTGAACCAATGTCAAAATAATGCTGGATACATCTGCAGCAAGAAGCACTCCCCTGGGGCCCAAGACCCTATGTGGCCCTTTTCTTAAATGCTGGTTATTTCTTCTAATACTATTTAAAAAAATGCTATGTAGTCTAGTGTTGTAATAAAATGGCTAAGAATTGGATGGTGTGAGTCGAAGGGTCTTGTCTTTGTAACAAATGCTGAATTGTTGATGGTTCCTATGCTGGAAGATGTTTCAGATTCCTGCCCCCAACAGACACACACTCCCATCCAATACAGGTTTTGTTAACTTTTTGTGCATGACAAACTGAATGTCAAGGGGCGGTGCGTGTAATTTAAAAGGTGAGATTACATGCTAGCATATTAGTGCTAATATACCTTGCTAAGACACTTTTGTGCCTGTGTGCAAACAAGCTATCTGATTCCTTGTTGGGGATAGCCAAGCAGGTTTCTGGGCACTGAAGGCTCAAATGTTCTTCCAGGACATTTGGCCAGGCCGTTAATTAGAATGGCAGCAGCGTTTGTGCCATTCTCTGCCTGAGCTTCATCTATACGTTTCCCTTGTCTGTTTAATCAGTTTGTACCTGAAAGTCTTGCAAGCATCTGGGGTGGGGAGGGGGAAGCAACCAGCATTATTTTTCTCCATCATTAGAGAAACTTAGACGTAGTGTGTTAAGTTTTAAGTTGGGTGGAAAGTTAGGGTAGACACAAAAGAAATGAAGCTGATCGCTTCAGGGAATAGCAAGCTTGAGTCTCCCCTTATTTACAGCATGGAAAATTGGGACTTTCTCTCTCAAAGTCAGTAGGATCACGGCAGTCTAAAACTTTGTGGGAACCAGAGGAGAATTAGGCCCATTTGTAGGTGTTCAGATGGCCCCCATTGTCTGAAAATACTCTTTCAAAAAAAACAGGAAGCGTTTTATTTGAGTTTACATTATAAGACAAGTGGGACATCACGCATGATTCAGAAGAGTGATTCACACGTCCATGTATTAGCATCAATTTACTGCAAGTGCGAAGTTACAGAGGAAAACTCTGTACCATGGAAATCCAGGGTGGCTTTCTTCTCCCCTTTTCGTTAACCTGAAAAGGCAGGTGCCAGCGTGCTCTGGCACAATGTATGAGTTGCCCCCCTGATCAGCCAAAGGTGTTGAATGCGCCAGCAAATGAAATATGACTCAGAGGAATGTGCAAACCTCTTTGAGGCTTTGACTGCAAGAGCTACAGGCTCTTGTGACACAAAAATGTGAGCCAAGACCCATTGAGCATCAAGGGGTTCATAGATCAGAAGATAAAACTGGTTGGGGTTATTTTGCTTTGTAGTTTTTAGGAGACATGGGCAACAGGGAATCTGCTCTCATTTAGCATAATAAAATACTAGTGGCTGGACCCTGGTCCCTGGTGAGGCTGCTTCACGCTGGCCTGCCAGTACTGAGTAATAAGTTGCATATCCAGTGGCTCCTATACTCTGAGCACTCTGTCTATTATCACACAGCTTGTGGCTGGCAAAAAAAAGCATTGGCAGAGCCCCACGGCCTGGGATCAAGTTGTCCCTTGTCCTCACTGCTGGTTCTGTTATGGTGTTAGTGCCAGCAGCACAGGTGTGGTCACCTGGGCTCAAGACTTAATCCCAGCTCATGGCAGTAACTAGGAAGCTGCAGGAAAAAGGAAGCCTAGTTTATATGAGCTTTCATCCTGCAGCGAATCCCTGGTACAGTATGGCAGAGGTTACTGGCATCTTCCTCTTCTGCAGTAAGGCTGGGTTGCTGTACAGCCAGTGTCTTAAGCCATTAGCGGATGATCAAACGCCGGTGCTGCATGTACTGAGACAATGAAAGTTTAAAACATCATGCCTAATTCAGATCTCACTTTCCCCTGTTGCACACCGGTATGTACCTCCACTGAATGCAGGGAGCTTGTCTTGATTTCTGTCAGTGCTAGTGAGATTAGGGTCCCACATCCCTGAAGGAGATCTCAACAGAGGGCTTTATTTGCCTTTAGCTATTTTGTGCAGACTCCTTTTCAAGCAGCCCCTGAATATTCTGCGGAAGCTGGATGAGTGATAAGGTCCTTTTGGACATTTTCCTCCATGGCCAAGAGGAGGAAACTTTCCTAATCATGTTTTGAAACCAGTGGCAATAAAAGACCTTTTTAAAAAGCTGGAGTTGGAAAGCCAGGCAAACCGTTCCTTTAAGAACTGCTCATCCGTAAGGGGAACAGCAGCAATCAATATGTTACACAGAGCGTGTGCTTGGAAGATAAGGCCCTTGTCTCCCCAAAGCAATTTTGCAGCATCTCTATTTGCTGAAATACGTTTGTGCAAATGATAGATAATACCTACTAAATGTGAGATATTTTAAACGCTTGATTATAGGACCCATCCACAGGCAGGTCCAAGAGAAATGGTTGCCTTGGAGGATTGATAATTACATATAGATCCCTTCAACCCTGAAGTTGCCAGTTTGAAACCCAACCATCTCCGCAGGAGAGAGGCATGGTGGCTGAGGTTAAAGGGTCTTGCTTTAGACCCAGGGGGTTGAGTGTGGGCCTCATTCCAGCCTTGGGCTGAAGGCCACCTCGATCAGTCCAGCAATAAGTGGCTGTTTGGCCTGGGGAGTCAAAGGGGGCCAGATGTAATGATGGCTGTGTTGCTCCTTTGCGTGCTGTTAGCCATAGGAAGTGGTGTGCCTGATGGGCCACTAAGATTGTGGATGGACCTTTGACATTTTTCCCCCCCTGACATTTTAGTAATGAGCAAAAGTTGTTGACATCCGGTGGCTGTCGGGTGGCCTCTGTGAAATAGGTGCCAATAATCAGGTGTCTGCCTAAGCCCCAGGATAATGTGTGCCAGCATTTCGCCTCTGTGTTGGAAGTCCCCACAGAGAGGCCAAAAACTGAATGTCCGTGGAGGCTGAGGGCTTGTCTGCACGTACAGGTATTCCTGATTTACCCTGTGGCTGGTGGGTGGGGGAGGTGGATGGAGTCTGGAATAAGAGAGTCCACACTCAGCGTTATTCTGAAATAGGCAAGTCAACCATATTCCCCCCTATAATATAAAATAACTTTCATCTGGAGGCAAACCAGGAGCTATTGTCACCTGCCTCCAGACAGACACTCCAGGAGAGGAATGAATTGCCTCCAGCTTTTCTTCTGTGGCTAAACATAAGATGCCCTTCCTCCCCCCCTTACCAGCACTAAATTCTCATGCACCTTCTTCATGCTGAACAGTCGCTGCCGGCCGCTCCGTTTCCATCTGCCTTGACGTGCTGGCTTTTAGGGATGTCTGTCGCATCTGTGGCTGCACAGAGGCTGAGACAGGGAACGGCAATTAAAGGGTTGATATTTTCATTTTTCTTTTTTACCAGTGCACATGTCAAAACACAATTAGCAGAGTAGAGTTAATGCAACAGTGCAGTTAATACTGAAATATAAATAGAAATCCTTTACTTCAGTGGGATCAAACAGATGCTCAGCGTCTTGTGAAAACCAGGCTATTTAGGTGCCTAAATATTAATGTAGGCCCGTAACTATAGCTCCTGTTTCTAAGAATCTGGGCCTCAAAACCTAACTGCTCTTGTTTGTTTTAGGATACTGCCGGACAAGAAAGATACAGGACCATCACCACAGCCTATTATCGAGGAGCAATGGGGTTCATCCTCATGTATGATATCACCAATGAGGATTCTTTCAATGCAGTGCAAGACTGGTATGGGAACATGCGATTGTTGGTCATCTGTCGTCGTCTTCTTTTTTTTAGACAGTCGTCTTTTTGCTGATGCTTGGTGATGTTTCACACGGGTTAGAACTCATCTCCTTTCCGTCCTTCCCCTCCCCCCTCCTTGTTGCTTTGCATTATGTTAATCTTCATCATTCATTTGAAATTCAAAATAAATGTTTCAATGTTTAATTTCTTATGAGGGGAAAAAATGCACAACTTCACTAAATACTACCTTTTTAAACTTACAAAGGTTTTAATGAACTCTAGGGGTAGATAGTTAAAGGTTCTCGTTGACACGTGGCATCTTGGGGTTACTGATATTCCTGCCACTACAACTCCCTTTACCAGTGGTTATACAGACAGGCTGGTTGCACGTGGCCAAACCTCATTAAAGCTTGATGAAAATCAAAAGGGTAAGGGTAAAATGTTCCAACGCATTAATCACATTTTTTAAGTAATCTGGGGCCCTGTGCCAAAGTTAGTTTTGAAAATGGGATTTGGGTGCTATTTAAAACTTAATCGGAGGTCTCTACATTATTGCTATGATGCCTCTTAAAAGGGGGTTAGTCATCAGGTTTTTGCTATGGTGCCCACGTCGTTCTGTTCGGTGCGTTGTAACCACGTCAGAGCCTTAATTGTTGCTTTATTGAGAATGTGGAGCTGGACTTTGGAGCCGTATATAAAAAGTCAACTGCCCAAGAAACTTTCTCTTCTTGAGAGAGGTCCATGATGGCATGCGGGGCAGAGTCGAGGTTGATGGCGTTCTACCCAGCCCCTCCCCTGGGAAGCAATGTCAACTAAGGATGCATCTTAGGATCAATCCTGCTCATGCTGTTCTATGTAGTGGGGCTAGACGAGGTCATTTCAGTCTTCATGCAGGTATCACGATTTGCCTCTGAACTAGACAGGGGGAGGAGCAGGGAGGGGGCCT